GACTCAAGGTTGTTTGCCGTTGATGTTGCTTCGTTGTTGTTGTTGCTGTTGCTGTTGTTGTTGCTGCTGCTGTCGTTGTTTGTTCATCAAATTATATAGAGCTACCAGTCGAGCTACTCTCTGTGTATCCTGTGCATGCTATATGTGCACGTTGCCAGCCTGCGGCACCGCTCAACTAACAATTGGCTCAACGAAAACACAAAAGCCCAAGCCCGAACCCGACTCGCTCTCTCTCTCCCTCTCTCTCGCTCTCTCTCTCATGATGAACTCAAGTGAAGGAGCGTTGCAGTGTTCCCTGTTCGAGCTGCCTGTTTGTCCGTGTCGTCTCAACGCGTCGCCTGACAAGCTCTCTGTGCCTCTCTCCGTCTACTCCTCCTACTCCTCCTCCTGCGCCGTCTCCTTCTCTGACTCTGTGCTTGCTGTGCGTCCAGTTGGAACGTAGCCGAGTCGTGCCGCCAAGTTTTTGGAGAGCGCATTGTAGGTAAACACACTCGCGCCTAAAAATAAAAGTATCTATAAGCTCTTTGTCGTGCAACAACTTGGGCAACCACTGCCGCTCGACTCGACTCGACGCGACGCGACTCAACTCGACTCGAATTGTGGCAGCTGCAACGCGTTTCGATTAGTTGCCACAACGGCTGTCCGCCTGTCCGTCTCTACGTCTGTCTATCTGTCAGTCAGTCAGTTAGGCAGTCAGTCAGTGAGGGCCCCATGGCCAGGTCGATGCAGACAAAAAAGCGACGCTGTCTTGTTAATTTTTTTTAGCTATTTATTTTGATGTTTTCGCTTTTACGCTCTCGTTAAGTCGCGCCAGACGCAATGCCAAAGTTCCAGCAACACAACTATCGCGAAAATTCATACGATAAATGTATGAAAGCGCACTAAAGCCAAGAATGAATGTTTCAGAAAATAGAAGTGCGAGACCAGCTCGTACCCTGTAGGTACTATACCTAGTATTATTGCTTTCTATAAGCTGATAATTTGTTATAATATGCTAAGTAGTATTTAGTGCCTGTAAAAGAAGTCTTAAAATCTCTGGAATATGTTACTCCATAATACATATATGATATCCTAAATAGCATTTTCTACCAGAAGACTTGCTATCCGATCTTGAATGTGCAGGACTAGCTGGACTAACCAATACTCTGTAGTATAGTCACATACAGAATTTAATGAAAATGTACCTGATTATACATATCTTGTATATTATTAATGAGATTATCATCATGATAATCTGTAATATCTATTTGCTTTTGATAGATCACTAGACAAATATAAATATCTTCAGTAATATGTTTATACCCGCTTTATATTTTTACCAGGTATTATTATATACATAAGAAAGAAATTCAAATATAGTAAAATTCGCTGACCAACACGAACTGCAAAAGCGACTAGACAGACACACACTGAGGCAGCTCTGCACTGCTGCTGTTCCTTCTTCTTCTTCATGTGTGTGTGTGTGTGTTTGTGCAGTGTGTGCAACGTTGCATTACGAGATAGTTAAAAAGATATGCATACAAAATTGGAAATGCTAATTAATATGTTTTGCACAGCAGATACGTAGCGATACGCGAGAATTGCAAGTGAATCTGTTTACATAAGCGTTAACTGCACACCCACTTACACACAGACACATACATAGCGAAAGAGAAAGAGAGACAGAGAGTGAAGTCGCATATACAGACAAATTAAATTAATTTTTATTAGGCGTCAAGCCATAAAGAACATAAAGAACAGCTGAGAGCCGAGCTGAGCTGCTCCGACGGCTGTCCAAACTGAATGAATGGGAAGCTCACATGACAACGCTTTATAATTAAGAACAATGCCAACTTATTCAAAGAGAGCCATACAGGGGGAGAGCGAGAGAGTGGGAGAGCGGGAGGCCGGGAGTGTGGGTGCGAGAGAGAGATGGATTACTTAAGCATATAGAGTTGTAGGCACTCATTCACTGGGCATTCAGGAATTCCACTGACATGACACATATTAATTGTTCGAGCAAGGTTTTTCCTGCAGTTTCCATTTGAGTTTCATTGAGATTATTTCGAAAATCATGCGATATGCCGAGCAGTACACATAGCTTTAGATTGAAGAGGTTGAAGGTGCAGATGAATTGAGAGGGATCTATCCTCGAGTCTGAGAGCGCTTGGACTAGGCCTATACCCAGAGTCGATGCTTGGTTATATTACATACTATACACTATAAGAGCAAGGGAGCTATCACATTGCTAATTACTAGAGACCTTCTCTAAAAACTAACTGATTCAGCAGGGATCTGTCTTACATATTAATCATGATTTTTTTTTTATTTCAGCAAACTAGAGTTAATCTCTAACAGTCAATGGAAACGCTTTGCTTTATTCAATAAACATGCTAAGCAGCAGCAGCCCTTCCCAGCAGCTAGCTTAAAGGAAGTTGGGCAAGATAGCATCATATCAGATTATATTGGAACATTTCCTGCTAGACTTCATTGCTCAGCAGCTAGGCTCGGCGCAGCAGTGATTGTTATAAGAGACACTTAAATATCCACAATAAACATCAAAGGCAGCCAATTTTAGGGTTGTCTATCGATTGTGCGGCAATTGTCATTGATAAAGAGCAAAAGCAATTACAATATAGCGAATAATATTCGCAGGCAATAGCAGCAGCAGCAGCAGCTGGCATTAAAATCTTTATACAGATGCCGTGAGTCATAATGGAACGGAGTTCGGGTCTGTGAGTGTGACCCAATGAGCAATATGCACCTACAACAACAATAATCGAAAGAAACACTTGGGTCTTGTTGGTTGGGCAACAATAAAGCCCAAGACAAGCAAAGCGATTACAAAGAAAAATAATTTGCGCAAATTTTAAAGCAGAAAATAAACTAGAAAGAGAGGGATGGAGAGCAACAAAGTGAGAGTGAGAGTGAGAGGGAGTGAGTGGGAATTGTGATCCGTCATCGAGCATCGGGCAAATGTTACTGAACTCAACTAATCTAATCAAATCGAATCAATGCCCCGTATATAGTTACCTTGTGCCCGTAGAATCCAAACAGAGCACCGACATACATATTGTGCAATGGCAAGGCCTAAGCCCAGTTTTTTGTTGCAGTACTTCCTGGCTTACACCCGAGTTGATCGATCGTACGATCGATAAAAGGCACAAAGCAGGAACAAACAATTGAGGACTCCTTTGTAACAAAATCCTAGCCAAAGAAAGATAAATACACACACTTGCACGTCTGCACATATGTATGTATGTAGGTGTACGCAATGAGATGTACCTGAGAAACACGCCAAGAGATGTTTGCACGGTCAACTTTCGACAATTTGTAGGCTACCTGCATTTTCGGTGTGGGTTTTCCTGAGAACGGGCCGTGGTAGTGGCCGTGGCCTGCTAACTGGCTGGCTGACAGATACGCATCGCTTGCACAGAGGCTGCGATGCGACTCGGACTCTGATCTGGGGATGTGTTTGGTTAATCAGCACCTGTCGGAGCAACGGCGTCAGCGCACAGGTACACAGTGAGCTGTGAGCTGTGAGCAGTGAGCAAAAATAAACTTAACTTAGCGGGAAACGATTTTGGTTTGTTTCTGTTTTGGGAAAGTTTGAAAGTGTAGCTTAAGACATATGGGTCCAATGATCATGCAACGAGATCTGCCTACAACGCTTCAAGCCCAACAAGCATAATGAGTAAGCAAAGCACAAACAACATCAACAACAAGCAGAAGAGATCGCCCAGTTAGCCAAGGCAGAAAGCAACAGCAACAGCAACGGCAGCTTGAGCGCTGATTGAGCAGCCGGTCAGGTTGCGCGATCAGCGATCAGCGCGATCAGTTTGTGGCCCAGGCCCAGGCCCAGGCCCAGCCAACTGCTCTCATAAATCAAGAAAAATCAGTCAATTTTTTATACACACACATACGTGTGTGTGCGTGCGTGTATGTACGTACTACGTACATATGGCGCGTATATCAAACTGACATTGGCTGAATTAACAATTGATTTCAATAATTTTTTATTATTATTTTTGCTCTCGTCGCTTAAGCCGCCGTCGTCGTCGTCGTTGCCGTTGCTGGTGTTGCAGATCAACGTTAAAGTCTCTCACGCTTGCACTCAAGGCGGTTCGCCGTAATTCAGCGTCGCTATCGCTCAATGGCTCTCTTTGTTCGGATTTGCGCTCACACAGTGCGGCGCTGAATATGAAACTCACTCAATTTGACTTTCGGCTCAGCTGGACAAAAAGAAACTCGTCTAACCGGTGTGACGAGTGTCAATGTCTCATTGGAAATTGTTCGTTTGGCGTTGACGCTCAACGAAACAGACAGGGGACACACTATGCATAGTGGAGCCAAGCTGTGGGTGCCATCAATTGGCAGGAGTAAAGTAAAGTAAATAAATAAAAAAGAAAAATAATAATAATATACATTTAAATATGTATGTCTATATCAGTTAGCATCTGTTTACCTAACTACCTTAAATAATCTCTTTTTTATATACCAATACAAGATATACTAATCCGAGTTCATTGTAGTTGGTCATATCACATATCTAAGCATTGTTCTTCATTCACTAATCCACAACTTGTAAGATCACCTGCTTATCTCTCGATCTCACTTCCTCTGCCTGCCTAATCTTAACTTCCTACTCTCACGCACACACACAATATTTGTTTGCCTTCATTTTACAAGCTACACATACACAAACATGCAAAAGATTGCATTGTCAATATTGAGCCCACTGTGCAATGCGTTGCGTTTTGCGTTTGCCTTTGCATTGCATAGTTTTGCTTTGTTTGCTTTGCTCACCCTGCGCGCTCTCTTGCTCTATATACGTATCTATTGCTCGCCCGTTCGCTCGCTCACTCTTGCTCATGCACGGTCACAGTCTTTGTGAGCGTGTGCGTGTTCATTGAGTGCTCGCCCAAAGGCATAATTTGAGCGGCACGAAGACTCACTCAATGTTCGACTCGGCTCGCTCGCCCGCTCGGTTTCTCAGCGGCACTTGCTGCTCTCTGCCGTTCGCAGTGTGTGATCAGTTTTTGAGCAGACTTTGAAGAGAACGCACGCGTTGTCGGTAAAACGAAACGAAACGAGACGCTGTCGCGTAATGAAGCTGAGTCGAAGAGTGCTTGAAAGTTATACAAAAACATATTTATCATAGCCAAAAAAAAAAAAAAAAATTACAAATTAAAGCAAAAGCAAACAAAATCAAAAAAGTATCGCGATCGCACACCCCCCACTTGGATTACGGTCAGCGCGAAAGAGAGCAAAGAAACGAGAAAATTGAATAACAAAATTTATATGGATAAAAATATATAAAGCAAATTAAGAGCAGTTTTTATGTGTTGTGTGCTGTGTTTTATTATTATTACATCCAACACGCTGTGGATTGTTGTGCAAGCATCGATAAAAGATCTACAAAATATTCACAAAATGGGCTGCATATAACGACGGAGCGACTGCAGCCCCCCCTGACAATCAAAATCCGAATACCCTAAAGAAGAAGGAGAAGAAGAAGCAGCAGTAGCACATAAAACAGCTAGCTAGCTAGCCAGGTTCGCGAGTGGGGTTTCCAGCTAGTTGTAGCTAGAAATAAGCCAAACACAAAATGCTGGCTAGCCACATGCTCTACGTCCTCATTGCCAGCTGTGTCATGCCCATTTTTGGGGCGGCGCTGAGCAAAACGGTATTGTATCAGGCTCCAGACGAATGCCGCTGGTCCGGCGGCGGGGAGCACGACATCACACTCGTCTGCCATCTGCGCACCATCAACTCGGAGCTGGAGAACACAAATTTCAGTGTGATCCAGCCGCATAATACGGTCCGGCTGCGTCTGGAGTGCAACGATGCGTTATTCTTCCAGAGCAGCCTCAGCCCGGACAGCTTTCGCTCGCTGGTGGAGCTCAGGGATCTGACCATCGAGTACTGCAAGCTGGGCAATCTGACGGAGGGCTCCTTTCGTGGCCTGCAGGAGCTGAGGAATCTGACCATTCGCACGCACAACGGCGACTGGTCGACCATGTCGCTGGAGATGGCCTCCAACAGCTTTGTGGAGTTCCGGCAGCTGGAGCGACTCGATCTGAGTCTCAACAACATTTGGCTCATACCGGATGGCATGGTCTGTCCGCTCAAGTCGCTGCAGCACCTGAATGCCTCCTACAACAAGATCCAGGACATCAGCAACTTCTACTTCAGCGCCTCGCTCAGCTCGAGGAAGTCGCGCGTGTGCGGCTCGACGCTGCAGTCGTTGGATCTGAGCGCCAACAAGATGGTCAGCCTGCCGTCGGCCATGCTGTCGGCGCTGGTCCGGCTGACCCACTTGAACATGGCGCGGAACAGCATGAGCTTTCTGGCAGATAGAGCATTCGAGGGCCTGATATCGCTGCGCGTCGTCGATCTGTCGGCGAACCGCTTGACCTCGCTGCCCCCGGAGCTGTTTGCCGAGACCAAGCAGCTGCAGGAGATATATTTGAAGAACAACTCGATTAATGTGCTGGCACCGGGCATCTTTGGCGAGCTGGCCGAGCTGCTGGTGCTGGACCTGGCCAACAATGAGCTCAACTCGCAGTGGATCAATGCGGCCACGTTTGTGGGATTGAAGCAGCTGGTGCTGCTGGATCTGTCGGCGAACAAGATCAGTCGACTGGAGGCGCACATCTTCCGGCCGCTGGCCAGTCTGCAAGTACTGAAGCTGGAGGGCAACTACATAGATCAGCTGCCCGCTGGCATCTTTGCCGATCTGGGCAATCTGCATACGCTGATCCTGTCCAACAATCGCATCTCTGTGATCGAGCAGCGCACGCTGCAGGGCCTGAACAATCTGCAAGTGCTCTCCCTGGACTACAATCGGCTGACGCGCCTGGATGCGCGTGCCTTGATCAATTGCAGTCAGCTGCAGGATTTGCATCTGAACGACAATAAGCTGCAGACGGTGCCAGAGGCGCTGGTCCATGTGCCCCTGCTGAAGACGCTGGATGTGGGCGAGAATATGATTACGCAAATAGAGAACACGAGCATCACTCAACTGGAGAATCTCTATGGGCTGCGCATGACGGAGAACTCGCTGACGCATATACGCCGAGGCGTCTTCGAACGCATGAGCTCACTGCAAATATTGAATCTGTCGGGCAACAAGCTGAAGTCCATCGAGGCGGGCGCGCTGCAGCGGAATACCCAATTGCAGGCCATACGGCTGGACGGTAATCAGCTGAAGAGCATCGCCGGCCTGTTCACCGAGCTGCCCAATCTGGTGTGGCTGAATATATCGGGTAATCGATTGGAGAAATTCGATTATTCGCACATACCCATCGGACTGCAGTGGCTGGATGTGCGTGCCAATCGGATCACGCAGCTGGGCAACTACTTCGAGATCGAGAACGAGCTGAGCCTGAGCACCTTCGATGCCAGCTACAATTTGCTGAGCGAGATCACGGCCAGCTCGATACCGAACAGCGTGGAGGTGCTCTATCTGAACGACAATCTGATCAGCAAGATACAGCCCTATACGTTCTTCAAGAAGCCCAATCTCACGCGCGTCGATCTCGTGCGGAACAAGCTGACCACGTTGGAGCCGAACGCCCTGCGACTGTCCCCCATTGCCGAGGATCGCGAGATTCCCGAGTTCTACATTGGCCACAATGCCTACCAGTGCGATTGCAATCTCGATTGGCTGCAGAAGATCAATCGGGAGTCACGCACGCAGCCGCAGCTCATGGATCTCGATCAGATCTATTGCAAATTGTCTTATGCACGCGGCGCCACGCATCTCTCGCTGATCGAGGCCAAGTCCAATGACTTCTTATGCAAATACGAGTCGCACTGCTTTGCCCTCTGCCACTGCTGCGACTTTCAGGCCTGCGACTGCAAAATGGAGTGCCCCGATCGCTGTTCCTGCTATCACGATCAGTCCTGGACCTCCAATGTGGTCGACTGCAGTCGCGCCAGCTACGATCGCTCGCTGCCCTCGCACATACCCATGGACGCCACGCAGCTCTACTTGGATGGCAATCACTTTGCGGAGCTGCAGAGCCATGCGTTCATCGGACGCAAGCGCTTGAAGGTGCTGCACTTGAATCACTCGCGCATCGAGACCCTGCACAATCGCACCTTCTACGGCCTGCTCGAGCTGGAGGTGCTGCAGCTCCAGAACAATCAGCTGAGCGCGCTCAACGGCAACGAGTTCCAGGGTCTGGACAATCTCCAAGAGCTCTACCTGCAGCACAACGCCATTGCGACCATAGACACGCTCACCTTTACCCACCTGTACCACTTGAAGATCCTGCGGCTCGATCACAATGCCATTGGCACCTTCGCCGTGTGGAACTTCCTGCCCAGCTACCTCAATGAGCTGCGTCTCTCTGGCAATCCCTGGAGCTGCCAGTGCGAGTTCATTGACAAGCTGCGCGACTACACGAACCGGCACGAGTACGTGCTGGATCGCCAGCAGCTGCGCTGCGAAATGCCCGGCAACAGCACGCAGCAGCAGGCCGTGCAGATGGCGATCTTCGCGGCGGCCGGCGAGACGCTGCCCGTGGTGCAGTGCAGCCAGACGCTGCAGCTGGGCCTGGACAACAGCTTCAACGCTGCGGAGCGAGCGGGCGCTGGCGCTGGCGAAGCGGCTGGCGGCAATATGACCTCCACCAAGATGATACTCACGCAGCCGCCCAAGCAGGACTACATACCCATTCTGGTGGCCATACTGACCGCCTTCATCTTCATCATGATCTGCACGCTGCTGGTGTTCATCTTCCGGCAGGAGATGCGCGTCTGGTGCCACTCGCGGTTCGGCGTGCGCCTCTTCTACAACGGCCAGAAGGATGTGGACAAGAACGAGCGGGAGAAGCTCTTCGATGCATTCATCTCGTACTCGTCTAAAGATGAGCTGTTCGTGAACGAGGAGCTGGCGCCCATGCTGGAGCTGGGCGAGCACCGCTACAAGCTGTGCCTGCATCAGCGCGACTTTCCCGTGGGCGGCTACCTGCCCGAGACCATTGTCCAGGCCATCGACAGCAGTCGACGCACCATCATGGTCGTCTCCGAGAACTTCATCAAGTCGGAGTGGTGCCGCTTCGAGTTCAAGTCGGCGCATCAGTCGGTGCTGCGCGATCGCCGGCGACGCCTCATTGTCATTGTGCTCGGCGAGGTGCCGCAGAAGGAGCTGGACCCGGATCTGCGGCTCTACCTGAAGACCAACACCTATTTGCAGTGGGGCGACAAGCTCTTCTGGCAGAAGCTGCGCTTCGCTCTGCCCGATGTTAGCTCCTCGCACCACGCCCAGCGCTCGGGCCAGCCCTGCCATGCGCCCATCAACCATCCCGCCTACCACCATCATCACCATCTGCAGCAGCAACAGCAGCAGCATCTCCAGCAGCAGCAGCAGCAGCTGCCGTTGCATGCAGCGCATTCTGTGCCGCATCCGCATCATCATCAGCAGCAGTTCATGCTGCCCCCGCCTCCGCTGCCCCTGCAGCCGGGCAGCTTCCGGCGACAGCCCTCCACACAGCAGCAGCATCGCTCCAATGCGAACATCAACAACAACAACCAACAGCAGCAGCAGCAGGCAGCGCTGCTCATGGGCGGCGGAGGAGGAGGAGGAGGCGGCGGCGGAGGTGTTGTTCCGGGCGCCCAGCCACAGATGATTCCCCTGGCGGGCGGCATACAGCAGCAGAGTCTGCCGCTGCCGCCGCAGGGGACGTCGCAGCCGACGCCAGCGTCGCGCAATTTGCACATGTGAGTGAGTGAGATAGGTAAAAAGAGAGAAAGAAATGCAATTTCGTTGTCTAATTAGAATTTTTGTTAAGGCTTAATAGAGTTTAAGCTTAAGTCCAAAAAGAAAGAGACAAAATGAGTTAGAGATAGAGAGGGACAGCAGGAAGTCACTTGAAAGTTCACATTTGACTCAGTTCAGCGCTGGTTCAGTTCCTAACTGGTTCAAAAAGCAAAAGTTGCAAAGAAAGTTCAGGCGAGTGAAAGAGAGAGAAAGCTTGAAAAGGATGAAAGGCAAACAAAACTCATTTTCAAGCTATTGTTAAAGACAGAAAGAGAGAGAGGGAGTGAAAGAGGGAGACGCACAGGCAGAGAATTAAGGAGTTGAAACTAAATTAAATCTAGTTTTTTTGATATTGTTGGCAATTTGCGTTTCGGCTTTTGGCTTGAAACCCGTTTTGATGCCAGGCTCAGAGCGAGCCGCAATTGGCAAAGCTTTTTAGCAAAGCTTCCCTGCAAATAAAATAAGAGTCGGAGCCAAATATGCAAATGAAAAGCGTTTAGCGATAAAAAGCCTAGCTACATGTTCAAATAGCAGCAACAACAATTGCAGCTGGGGGCAACAGCAGCAGCAGCAGCAAGAATGAAACAACAACAACTGTAAACAGTAAAATACCAAATAGTTGGCAACAGCGGTTCGGGGCGGGTGTAGAACGGAGCCAATTGTTGTTGGCCCTGTTCTGTTTTCTTACGGCAAGCTATTTTCAGTTTCCTGGCTCGCAGCAAGATTCAGAAAATTGATGTTGCATGCAACACAGCAACACTGCAGCGGCAACCAGTCGATGCGATGCAGACGCAGCCAAGGCCCAAAACAATTTTTCTCTCTCTCCTTCATTTTGTTATTTTCTCTTAGCTTCTTCCATTCTTCCCTCTCTCTCTCTCTTGCGCACTCTATTCGTATGTTGTTGCAACGTTCACTCGTTAGTTCGTCTTAACTGCTGCATTTTACTGTAACAAGCCGTGTGTCTGATTGTGTGTGTGTGTGTGTGTGTGGGGCATAGAAAATAGGCAACGCGAAACATCACTGAGCTCATGTCTGGGCAAAAACTGACAAAAACAAAAAAATAAAAGGCACAGCTCGAGCAGAATGAAAAGAAATTGTAACAAAAAGTGAGGCGAGCGACACCGTCAGGGCCACTGCATAGAGACGGACGGACACGGCCACAGACGTAGAACTAGACCGGCAACAGACGAACTGAAAGAGAGAGAGAGAAATGGAGAGGGAGAGGGAGAGAGGTAGATACCTAGACATGTTCTCTGGCTATGGCTGTGGCAGACTTTTGGCAGCTGCAACACACTCCTACACAGACAGAGTTTTCTGTTTTTGGGCCCCAGCTACACGTGGCGAGAGTGTCGGCGGGCGCTAAGGTTAGCCGGGCTAAAAGATCAAGCAGCATGCAAAGCTACGCGCTGAAATTGGCCCACAAGGGAGGTCAACTGTGGCAGGCTAAGCTCTGGCCAAGCAGAAACTTGCTTAAAGGTCAGCGTGAAGCCAGAGCAAGTTTGCTGATGATCTGGCAACACTGATTTATGGCATGTGTGGGTGTGTACGTGTGTGTGTGTGTGTGTGTGGCTGCGCTAACAACTATCAAAAAGTTGTTAACTAAGCGTAACTAAATTGGCTAATACGAGCTGCAGTATTGACCCTAGTTTCTTAGCCAAAAACTAATTGTTAACTGCATTCGCCTGCACAGAAGTTGGCCAGGTAGATTCGCACGTGTGTTGTTGGCTTAAACTGTCGTTTACTTGGGCCAAGGCAAAATCAAACTGCCAAAGTAACAAGGGAGACACAGACACACACACACACACACACACACTCGTGCAACGTGTAGAAGAATAGAATTGCAAGGAAACAGAAAAAGAACCAGACAGAACTGAACATTGCTACAGATTAGTTGGCTGCGATTAAAATCTACCTTGTTGTTGTTTGTTACGCCTGCTTGTCTTTTGTATCTGTCTCTCTCTCTTTCTCGCTCTCTCTCTCTCTTTCTCGCTCTCTCTCTCTCTCTCTCTCATACACACCCTCAGCTAGCTGGTAAGATAGAAACATCCAACTAAATGCATTCCAAAAGCAAGAAACTAGTTAACTGTTAGACATCTGCATAGTTACGTTACGTTTCGTTTCGTTTCATCTCGTTTCGTTTCGTTCCGTTAAAATTGTATATATCTAAAAGGAGAACTTTAAGTTTAAGAGAAGCAAACATGTTAAATTGTACGTTTATTTGTTTAATAATTGTGATATTTTGTTCAATTAAGTCTTAAATTATAAACACATAAATATAAATATAAATATATATAAATATGAGAATATAAAACGAGAAACAACTATTAATATTATGTTATGTTCGTCGATGCTATCAATAACTATTTAAATTGTAAACTCTTCTCCTCATAAGTTATGTTAGTCCATAAGCTGAATTAGCCCGAATCCGAACACACACACACACACACACGACACGCACACACATCGTTCACAGCCATATTAACTCTATAAAATGTCAGGTGTGTTTGTGTGTGTGTGTGTGTGTGTGTCTGTGCATATATAAATCGACTGATTACATCTAGATATGTACATGTATCTGTTAGCTATATAAATCTTGATTACGATGTAAATATTGTATTTGTATTTGTATTTTTATTAACTTTATGTTTTCTAGTTTATAGCCAAAAAGCGACAAAAATATAACCGAAACAAAAATGATAATCGAAAAAGTAAAAAAAAAAAAAAAAACAAACTGTATTTTTTATACCTCATTTAATTTGCATGTTTATAGCTGAGAAATTCGCACGGCAGCACTTTTCGCCGGCCTTTGCGATCCTATATATACGTAGTAGTATATGGCCGACTGATAAGTCATAAATCCATCCGAATTGACATTTGATACCCATGCCATACAGCGGACGACTGACCGCTCTGCCATGTCGCCTGCTTTTGGCCGGAATTCGTATCGGAGTCTCAATCTGAGTGAGTGGGTTCATCGACAACATTCACAATTTCTGCTTACTGGAGCAGTCGCTAGTTGGAAGACGTAACAATTTGCAAACACAAACAGAAAATACTGAACAAAAAGACGAAGAAGAAAGAATGGGAGCAGGCGAGGGGCGAGGGGCGAGGGGCGTGGGGTGAGCGGTGTGCGAGGAGACCTGGTTGGAAAGTTTAACCAATAATATATCAATTTATTTGTGGCATTAAAGATCTGTTTGATACCGCTGCAGGTATTGAGAATGATGGGGCTTAAATGGAATATGTATGTCTCTTTTAAACATATAAATTTCAGGTAAACTCTGGCTGAAGCTGCTAAAAAGTTTATTTGCATGAGCTTTGGACATTTACTTTGTTTAAATGGATATTATTTATATAACAGTAACATAAGGTTAACTTCTTCTTGAATATGGGATCATTCATGGAAGTTATTGTTTATCAAAGTAAGTTTTTTCCGTGATCTTTGTAGGATTTTGTATGTAGACTAGAAAATTGTATAATATACTATATATTTACGTTTCGTAGTCAAGAAAAAGTTTTCAACATTTAATCATTCCTTTACATAGGATCATTTTATCCATGCAAATTAAAGAACTAGGCTACAGAGTTTTAATTTAACAAGAATTGTGAAAAAGTAATACTCTAAATCTAACACGCTAGTTATAGTTCCTATAGGATAACTCTATTATATATAAGGAGCTACATTTTTAAGGCTTAGACTTTAAGCTTTCTTATGGCCAGAGTTTCTCGTATATATTTCTCTGTATTTGTCAAGGTAAACTTTGATGCTTACGCTCTAGTTTGATGTTTTCTTATAAATATTAAGACTCTCGCCTATACACAATTCAATATATTCAACTGAAAAGATAAAGCACTAAAATTGACTTCCACAAGGTAAGTTCTAGGATAAAAATTATTCTATGAGATCAATAGCTTTCAATATACTTCAACACTTATTAGATAAGTACTTACATATATGCATTTTTGTTATCCATTGATAAAGTATAATTCAACTACCCACTTATGGCCTCCCCTACAACAAACTTTTTAGCTAACTGTCTTTCTTTTATTGCTCTCATTTCGCATGGCAATCGTGGCAACCCACGACTGCCTCATTGGAATTTGGCCTAAACACTTTTTAGCCGCCTACTTTTTCCCAAGCTCTCCAGCTCCGCAACTCATGCATATTTTATAGATATCGATCGCCGCACTATTATCGTTTAGATTTGCTTTGTTTTTGTTTTTGTTTGTGTTTCTTTTTCTTGCCTCGTCTGTTCTGTTCTTCTTGGCCGTCAGCGCGTTGTATTTTGCTGATTTTGCAATCTTTGTGGAAATGAATGAATAATTTTTATGATCAATTAAATGAGCAATAAAATTGATGGGGCACTCGTTCCCCCACCCTCTCCCTCTCTCGCTCTCACTCTCACGCTCATTCTGGCAGGCTGTAAAAACGAGTCCAGCCAACGAGCTGCGATTCCAGCATAAATTCCCATTGCTTAAATTAGCAAATTTTACAATCAATCATTAGGAGGCGAAATGCCGCCAACGTCGACGCGACTTTGATCTTCAATCAACGAGCCTAAGGAATCTGAAAGCCGCAGCTCTATTGGCATTTGTCTCTGTAGCTGTATCTGTAGGTGTATCTGTGTGTTTGTTTTCTCTATCTGTATCTGCAACTGCTTTTCGTGCCTTCGCTCATATGAGATGGGGGAGGGGGACGAGCACGTACTCGTATATGGGTTAACCATCGCACAAAGGCGCAAAAAAAAGTTCAAGCTCAAGCTAAACCCTTTTCAATTTTTGTTACATCTTCGACTAACTCGCTTCCCCCATGTTTCGACCTATTTCAATGCAAAAAGTTGAAAAAGAACAAAGAAAAAAAAAAACACGTCAAATATTAAAAACTTTTCTTCAGCTTTTACTTTCTACGGGCTTAGATGGATGTTTCTTTTTTTTTACTTTTATTTTTATTTTTTTTTATCAATTTCGTTTGTGGGATTTGTTACGGCGTAATGGATGAGAGCTGGCCGTAGCCGTAACCGCCCACTAGACAAAACTTTCAATTGAATTTCTTCTCTTTTTCCGTCGTGTGCTGTGCAGGAAAGTTAAAACTCTGTCTTAGGGGCTGTTCCCGGGGTTTGGGCTATTGGCCCTGCGGCTGCGGGTTTGGCTGTCATTCGGTCTACTCACAGCATACGACGTAAATATTTCGGTTAACAAGTCAGTTTAGTGTCAGAAGTTGAACTTTTTATTTATAGATATCGGGCAAACGAAAGGACAGGAGTGTACTCACGGCAAATGAGAGACTTATGAAGGTGCTAAGTAGACATTTATGGAGTCCTTTTGCTCCGTGAACCGCTCCTGCAATTTGAGCAGTTCCTACCTTCATCAAAACATTGGCCCAGTTTGAAGTTTTGGGCTCAAAGTCAAATCAAAGTGCTTGGCCCAGCATATCCCAACATCTCTCTAATCCAACCACCTGAACTTTAACCATATATCAGGCAATTGCTTAAAGAGATCCCAGCTCGGTGGGTTCGTTGGGTCGTCAATTGCTCGCTTAGCCACCCAAACCACTTGCCTCATTAGCCGCCAACGAATCGAAAGTCATAAACGTCTGCGCTACAGCTACAATAACAATTCAGTGCCCGACTATTGGCTCCATGGATGGGCATAGCCATAGCCATAGCCATAGCCATGCCGCAGCTGTATTCCTAGCCATCGAGGGGCGGTGTGTGCGCGTATAAATAAATATGCTTTTATTGGAAGACGACTACAACTGTTTGCAATAAAAGCAACATTTTTCTTAATTTCCATTTCTTGCTAATTTAGCAGCCATAAATTGCCGGTCCATGTGGCCCGGGGTCTCGTTACCCAACGGGCCTGACAAGGGGGCAGGAAGCTGGCGGGCGGCGGTGGCAGGGGGGGGGGGCGTCGTGCAGTTCGATGCCTGCCGAAACAAACCAAGCTGAACCGCCGGTAGACACATAAAATTGGCTACAAATTATTGCACATTGTCAAAACAACATTGGTTTGCAATTTTCGCGCTTCAATGCAGATACAGAGTGATATCTGCTTGATTGGGGGAGGGGCCGGCAGAGGCGGCGGAGGAGTGCAGAAAAGCATTTGCACTTGCAGTTGCCCTGGTAGACGAAACTAAACGAATACCCTAGGGCAAATATTTAAATGTGATCGGTGCGAAAAAAACAACGAAAAACAAAAACAAATGAATTCATGGGAATGCTAAAAATATTCAAGTGAGCAAAATGTTTATGGTAAAGTGACGCAAGCAATGGCATGGCTAAGCTATGAATAAGATTAACTTTTGGAGATCAAAGACTTTTGGCTTATTTGAAAATTTAAATTCAAATTTGAATTTTAACTTAACTAAACTAAATTAAATTCCAATATTATTTTTAATTAACACTTTGTATATATTATGAAACAAGTTTTCAGCTCATTTTAGTGAGAACTCAATAAAGCTTAAGCCTATTTAGAGCCATCTCAGATGATTTACGACAGATGCCAGCCTATAGATCAATGCAAGATCTTTTGATCTGAGCTGCTTTTTTCACACACCAGCTTGCGCAATTCTTAACAGAGTATTGCAGGTGCGAGCACTCCCCAGCTCTACTCGCATTTACAGTTAGCTATGGTAATTTGCACTGCGCTGTGACTGCGAAATGGGTTAGGTTATGGACGAGGCACTGACATTGACATATAGGCAGTCGATTAATAAGAGACAAAGAGAAAGAAAGAGAGAGAGAGAGAGAGAGAGAGAGACTGGTAGAGAGAGAGAGAGAGGGTTCGGTAGCTGTTGATTGTTTTCATTGAAATAAATGACAGAGCCTGGACTGTTGACACACGCGTTGAGCAGGCGCATTTGATACCCTGCATAAATAATTATCATAATTTCGGATGCACTCGGCGCTCTCGCATAAAGGCAAATTTGTATGCGATTTATCTTATCGCGATCATGTGGATGAGCAGCGAGAGAGAGAGAGGCAAACAGAAAGAGAGAATGAGAGAGAGAGAGAGAGAGAGAGAGAGAGAGTGAGTGAGGGAGAGTGAGATCGACAGAGAGGGCGACGCACAAGTTTCACGTATTTTCATGCACGATTAAAGCCTTAATTTTCAACGTTGCGAACATTGGACAAAATCTGCAGGTATCTGCAGCTCCTAATTAATGGTTTGCATCGGCTTCTTATCGCGCCGCACGCATCGCGATCGCCCAGCCCAGCGCCTCACCTTGCCCTGGCCAGGTACACTTGGCTATGGCAGCATCTTTCGGCTTCGATTTTGGCTCTGGCTCCGGCTCTGGCTCTGACTCTGACTCTGGCTCTGGCTAAGTGTTCGTGTTGCGCTTGGCGGCACCTGATCAAGGCAAAAAGGAGCTGCGATTGGCAATGGGTAGAGCAATGGTCAGGGGGAACGGGCAGCGGGAACGGGTGCGGTAACATCGGCTGTCTGCGTACAATTTTGTAATTCTTTGTGGCTCTGCGCACAGAGATTTTTATGAGCTGTAGCATTGCACATTATTGATAATCCCGATACGCGTTTTGACTTGAACATTGCCAGAGATTTTAGCAGAGGGTGTTGTCAAGCCGAGCAAAATACCTTTTTGCCCCGGCCA